ACTTTCAGTCTCCAGGATAAAGCCTACATGTTTCGCCTAAGTCTACATTTTTCGCCCAAGTCAACCCCACCCCGCACTGCTCGGTGAATCTTCCAGTCCAAGTCCGTGGCCAAATCCGGGCGTCAAAGGGCGCGCTGGCCGTCACTGGACGCGGTCACAGGACGTCTAGCCGTTCTGGGGGACTGAGATCCTGGACTCCTGGATCCCCTCCAAGTTTCAGAATATCGGTTTATCATGGTTTATCTGGATTCCATGAAGGAAAGGGTGAGTGAATCCATAGTGAATCTAACTAGATTGACATAGATTGACTCTTGAGATTCTTGAGATTCACTGCTTCAAACATCAAACCCCACACATCCTCTGCAAATCCCCCTACCCTCGGCCACACCGTGAGAGACACCCTTGCGTCCATCGGTTCATAACTCCACCCGAGGCGCTCGTCTCCGAAGACATCGGGCGCCGAAGACCTTTGCAGCAAAGCCGTGGCGCCGGAGGCCTTCGCGTAGAAGTCCTGGTCGGTGCAGTCGGTCGAGTCGGGTCCAGTGCTGCGGGTCGTCCATGTCTGCTGCGGTCAGTGGAGACGGGCTTTCTTTTTTCGATCTTTATAGTTGGGATATGTTGGGGAGAGAAGTGTCCAACAGATAACAGATTAGACAGTGACATATACAAATGTACATGCATAGTACATCAGATTAGAGAAAATATGTCCATACATGTATACCCCCAGCGCTCAAAGGCAGCAATCGCTCTTCTTGCCGGTGCAACCGGTCGCCCCGCGGTCCCCCCGCGGTCCCCCGCGACGCGGTCCTTGAGCACCTGCAAGGCCTGGGCGACGGCCTCCTGTGCCTCTTTGGCATCTGCAATGGTCAAGGAGTTCTTCTCCGTCTCCTGGCAGGATGGCAGGTGCTTCGATCTGCGCCCATTTGGGCAGGCTTTTGTGGGTGGGTCGTCTTCGTCTTCTCCACCCCCGTTGTTGAAGACGTTTCGGTCCGAAGTCCGAAGTCCGTCAGCTGTTCTCTTCAGCTGTTCTGAGCTGGTGGGTAGCTGCTGTTCTGAATTTGGAGCGGATTTCATGCGGAAAAAGTGGACGAGTTCTGAACACCCTGGGATTCAGCGGTGTTTGGTTGCACGTGTTTCCACGGAGCAGCCCTTCAAAAGGCGCCCTGACAGTCCACTGCGATCGAGCGGATCCAAGCCGCATTTGGTGAATGGCCAGGTCAAGGGTCTGACATCACTGCCGAACCGGTTCTATTCCGACGGCCGGAGTGTTGTGAACGATGAGGTTTTCGCTGAACAGCTGCAGCCAACTCGGCCATCCAACCTCCTAAGAGTTCAGGTCTCTCCCCGAACGGGCTCCAGTCGTACCTTCGTTTCGAAGGTGGGACTGGCGTGGGTTTAGAGGGTCCAAATACCTTCCGAGGAGGTACGACTGGAGCCCTAGGGTCTTGGAACGTCGAGCGCATCCTGTGCAACTACTTGCGCGGTGGCGGTGCCTCCTCGTTGACGGGTGCCATGTGCCACCCATTTCTCGGTCCTGCTCCACCCCCCGACCGCCCACCCTCGCATCCCACGTAAATCGCCTTCTGTCGCAAGGCGGTGGCTTTGGTCATCGCCTCATCCAGCTCCGTCAGCTCCTCCAAACAACGGCCGGAGCGGAGCGGCCAGCGGCCAGCGAGCCGGTCGGTGGTCAGTGGTCAACGTCAACAAACAGGGTGGTGGCCAAACTGGGTGAACTCAGTTCGGTTTGCAGCAGACAGCAGCACGGGTTCAGAGTATGAAGTCTCATGGCACTGGAACTGGAACTTGCCGCCCCTGTCATTCTCTCCTCGCATGAGAGCCTCCCTCTTCCAGAGCCTCCCTCCAAGAGAGAGAGAACCTTTTTTCAAAGGTTTGCGGCCCGACCACTCCTTGGACAAAGTGGTGGTCTCGTCGCCCAACTTGGCGATGGAGGCCTGGCGAAAAAAGAAACCTCCGGCGCCATGCTGCCTTCTGATCCTTGATGCTAAATGATGAGTGCTGACTTCACTGTGAACAGCAGGGTTTGATCAAACAGCAAGTGATCCCCTAAGGCCCTAAGTGGTCTATATTGCTGCTCAAAGGTACAGTATCTCCTATAATAGTTGTTATTTCATGGTCATACCATGTCATACCGACTCATCTTTGTTTGCTGTCGACATTGCTTCGCTTCGCTCGGCGTCGCCTCTCCGCCACCGGCCTCGCAGTCGCCGCGAGCCGCGTCTCTCTCCGCGCCTTCAACTGGTCGATCTCCGCTTGGAGGGAGTCCACGGCATCTGTCTTGGTCTCGCGAGTCCTCAGAGACGGTCGACGCAGAGAACGGTCGGTCGTCTGACACGGAGTAGACACACACGTCTTCGTGTGATCAATAACAGTTCGAATCTTGCTAGCAGACCCCAACAAGCGTCTGAGCGCTCTACCAGTTTGTGTGTGCGTTTATGTATGTGGCTTGTATGTGTGATGTCCACTGAACATATGCACGCCACACCGAAGATGTTTGGATGTTTGGTTGATCGCGTGACTTGGCAAGCCAAGCAGCTGCTTGTTGCTCGCGAGCTCTGTCTCGCACCACGCTGATTTGGTGTTTTCTTCCTTTGCCTCCCGTTCTGCCATCCCCGACTGAGAGCTCATTTCAGCATCAGGGGTTGTTTGATGTTCTCTTTGTAGAGAGACAGCTACAACCGAATGGGTGAATCATTCTAATCGTATTCTCTTCCTAAGAGGCCGGGGTCATCGGCCGGGGGGCCCTGCGGGTCCATGCCTCAGGGTAGTTCGAAGACAACGAAACCGCTTCCGTCTCCGAAAACGCTTCTCCAAAGTCCCCGTTAGACTGAAGATGCCGCCTTTTTGGGCTTTTAGATGCTCTTAGTAAGGTGCTGAAAAAGGTAGCACCTGGTCAACACATCTGGGACCACCGATTTGATACAACACGTCATACTATAATATACAAATTAATACATCAAGAAGCCACATGACCAGAAATACGTGGGATGCGTCTGACGTCGATGAGTTTGATCGTGGCTTTGGGCGGTTTTAGGATCAGAGCCTGGGGTTCGTTCGGGTCATTTGTTGATATATCCTGATCTACACGGCTGAAACTAAACCAAATACAAGCGAGCTTGGCCCCACTAGGGCTGCGGTTTTTTTGCGACAGTTTTGGGTGTTTTTTGCAACGGTGAGGTGTGAGAGGGTTTTTTTGCGACGGTGACCGCAGAAAGGGTTTTCTGTGACAGTACTGTCCGCAGGGTTTTTTTTTGCGACGGTGGGGCGAGGGTTTTTTGCGAGGGATAGAGAGGTGGCAAGCGTTTGTGGGGGTTTTCTGCGGCGGTAACAGGGGTTTTTTGCGACGGTAGCGCATGGACGGGGTTTTCTGCAACGGTAAGCGGGGTTTTTTGTGACAGTAAGGGGCTCGAGGCGACGGTACTATAGTAGTAGTACGACGACGACAACGACGACGACGACTACTACCACTTCTACTTCTACTTCTTACTACCACTACTACTACTACTACTACTACTACTACTACTACTACTACTACTACTACTACTACTACTACTAC